ACACACAACTTTCAGATAACCAATACAAATGCAGAGTTATACACAAACACACAGCCGCCACTTATTCTTAGACCCTTGGGCGGTGGGTCGTACACCAGTCAACTCATCTGCGTTCAAGGTACTGGTCAACCTTGAACGCACGTTCACACGCGCACCACCCTCAGATGAGGGAAATATACAGACCAAATACAATCCGATCCTAAACGCAGTCAATCAAACTATTCCCGGGGGCGACTGCTACCAAATCACCCGAGATATCAATCGTTAACATGAAATGAGACACCACCCTTACCTCAACGCAATGGGCACAACTGGGAAATGGAATACGTGGATCACTTCAGCAGCCGGAGCAGACTGATCCCCACGTAACTGGACTTGAATGTGTGTGGGGAGCTTCGCACTGCCCTTGTCCTTAAAGACAGTGGACCCGATTCCTCAACGACTTGCGCAGTAGGGGGTAAAACGAACTATCTGATTGTTATCTGCTAGACTATCGCTAGGCTTTGTGTAAAGGTATCTCTATCGTAGCGTTCTTCTGTGTTCTTCGCCACGCGTCTGGCGAATATCTTGAGTTGAGTATACTGGAACTGTTGACGTAGACACTCCACTGGATTCTTGCCCAGCTTCAATGTGCCCGCGTCTTTGTGCATTACTGGCTCTCGAGAAACCTTGAAACCGCATTCCTTGAAACCGGGTTTCAGAGTCAGCAGGCCTGAACGCAGTGCGTCCAAGGTCTGCGGCCAAAGGCGATTTGCGTCCAAGGCTGAAACCATACTCAGGGCCTTGCGGCCAAGGGTAGGTTGACTCTTCCCCAGGTCGTGGGGCACTTGGCAGGACTTCTTCCGGGTGGCCAGCGGTCTAAACACCATGTACGCGACTTTACTGGGGGGCTGAGCTCCGGGTACACGAATTCGATGTGCGTTCAGGGCCTAGGCGAGGCGGGACACCATGCACGATACGTTCGTGCAGGCGTTTTCGACGGCCTCAATGTGTCAACCCGCTTAAGGACGGGGGCGGCCTGGACGGATCGACTGCGTTCAGGGTTTCTCATCTGAACGCAGTCTTCCAGGCCTGAAGGGCCCATTGACACGATGGAATTGGAGATTTTCGAGGATTCCCCGAGCCGCGCCTGTGATTGGTTGGCTCAGAGGCTCACTATGGGAGAGGGAGGCGGCGACACGTGGCGTACGGGAAAAGCGGATCCCGGCCGGACTCGCGTTGGCAGTGTACAAGGTTTGGTGACCCCAGATGGAGATGTCCCCAAGAGCGGACTCCGGCTGGAACCAAGTACCGAACGAGAGGCAAAACCCAAGGGAGCGTAGAAGTGCCTCCGACTGGAGGCCGCCTGCTCTCGGTGCACTGTACAACGCAAGAGGAGCCCGACCGGATCGAGTGAAGACCCAGAAAACCGTGAAGCTGTCCAAGACATCCCGGACGTGAAGCCCAAGTGGAGTGTGATCCCGTTTGGAGATAATCATGAATCCCGGGTGGAGATACCAAGATACCAAGATACCATCCCAAATGTGAAGATCCATTATACAAAGTCCAAGATGTTTCCGACCGACCAAGCCGACCAGCCAAGATCTGTTCGGATTCCGTGGAACATTGAACTTCGCTTGCGTACCCAGTGATGATTATACTTGCTGTAAGTATGCTACGAGGGACCGCGGACGATTACGGCGACAAGACCATAGAAGGCAAGTCAAGATGGAGTGCATGTAAAGACTGACAGAAGATAGCCAGGCAGACAGAGAGAGACCACAGATAACAGATAAACAGAGTTCGTTTTGCCAAGGATCGCGCAAGTGAGTTGGAGCAGCCTACCGGGCGTGCATTCCCGGAGGACCGACTAAGTCTACGTGTGAGGGCCCAGCAACTGTGACATCTGGGTCGAGCTCCCGCAACCAAGTCCAGTCCAAGTTGGGGTGAGTACCGGGCGACAACCCGAGGTTGCTCCATCCCATTTCATTTCCTAGTTGCGGTTGAGCTCGTCCAGACCAGGAAGGCCCCGCATTTCATATTACCGATTACCTTGTCACCCCGGTTGGAGTAGCCCCGTGTGGAAAGTATTGATTTAAGTGCTATTTTGTGATAGGAGGTAATTGATTGTTTTAGTTTCCTCAGTACTCGAGGGTGGTGCGCGTGAGCCAAAGCCGACCGGGATCGACCAGTGTCCTCGAGTCCGGCTGGAGTTGACTGGAGTAGTGGCCGACCCTTTCACGGTCCAAAAGAATAAGGAAGGGCTACGTGTTTGTATATAACTCTGTATCTGTTTGTATTGTTTGGTTGTCTGAGGGCTGTCAGAGGCGACGTCCAGGAAGGTTACGTTCTGCCCTGCTACCTAGTGACCTACAGGTATCAAGACAACTCATCCACGGTTGAAGACCCCTGGTTACAAAGACAAACGAACCCACAGGGATTGTTCACAAGGACACACGCCACCCCGGTTGGAGTGTACATCTAGGTGTACTATCTCCGGCTAGGGTTTGTTCTGGGTGCACTCCATTCGGGAGTCTACACCCGGGACGCGCCAAGCTATACACCTGGGCGGTCAGGCGTTCACCCGCCTCGCCTCAGCTGGTGCGCGTGCCCGGATTCGAACTAGGGATTTCCCGGAGTTGTCTATATTTTGTAAGTTTATAGGTGTGAGGTGTGCTAACTTTCCTAACTAGCGTCTATGACAGCTAAGCGAGGAGACATGCGCGAAGGAGGGCGCGGAGAACGAGGACGCGGAAAGGTGTCGCGTCAGTCGCGTCGTGCGGCGGGGCTACCGCCCGAGGAACAACCGAGCCTGGAAGAGGTTCAACGCAATGCTCGGAGGGTTAACGCTGAAAAGCACAAGGCGGTCCTGGCCGGAGATGGGTCTTCGAACCAAGTCCAGCCGGCACCCGAGCCGGCCGTCCCAGATGGCGCGCACCAAGTGTCGAAGGACGGCGAGCCCGAACGTGCTGACGCGGGCGTGGAGTCGAAAACCGCTGATGGGGATCCCGGCCAAGGTGAACCCAACCAGGCGTCAGAGGGAGGCGCCGACGTGGATGAACCCCAGGCGGAGGGTCGAGTTTCGGACTCCTCTCTGCCTGGCCAAGATGTGCAGCCGGACGCGCAAGTGTCCGTCGAACCCAAGCCGACGCCGTCTGCCGAGGAGGAGAAGCCGGCCGCAGCTCCTGCGAAGGCGGTGACCCCGGCCGCTGATGCCCAACCGGAGACCCGACTCTCGGTGAAGGCCAGCCGGGGTAACCCGCCGACGGGGTTGCCGGCCGAGCACCCAAGTGTCCAAGCGGCGAAGACGTACGCGGCGCTGCAGGCTTCCCGGTGGGTCTGGGCTTACGCTTCCGCCGAACGTGGAGTATGCCTGGCCGGAGTCCCGTCCGGGCTCCGTGCTGTGGCTGACTGCGACACTTGCGACGTCCAAGTACCTGGCGTCCAAGGTGGCCTCGCAGGACCCGGCCGAAGTTTGGTTGGCCGACCTGGCACCCAGCCGCCGAGACTTGTCGACTGCCCAGGACCTGGCCGGAGTCCAGATCCCAACCGGGTTGCTGGACTCGCGGGAGTGCGTTGCGGTTCTGCAGATGCTCCTGTTCGAGGCCGGTTTACAGTTCGTCAACGTGGTGCCGGCCTGGGTGGAGATGCGAGTGTCCAAGGTGGAGCCGATGTCCATCCGGACCCTGGTCGGAGACGTCCAGCGACTGCTTGCGGTCGAGCTCATCGAGTGGCGCGAGCTGGTTATCGGAGCGACGTTCAAGATCCTGCCAGCGTTGGAGGCCCAAGCGAAGACAGAGAAGCCGCCGATCATGGATTACCACGCGGAAGACGCGGATGGAGATCTATTGATGAACGACTACGAACACTTGCTGGGCCGGACCTACGTCCTACGCCTACGCTTGACTGGCCTTCGTCTCATCCGGAGTCCGAGCGGGTCGTCCACCGGTGAGCCTGCGCCCAAGCGTCCGCAGCATGCGCCACCGAGGGCTGAGAGCTCCCTTGCGTCCCCGCCGTCCCAGTTCGAGTCGCTGCCGTCCGAGTTTCCGTCGGCTGAGGAGTCCGCCCGGGATACCCCGGCCAGAGATGCAACTTCGGACCCTGTCCCGAGCATAGTTGGTACCTCCGACCGGGCTTCCTACGGCGCGACGTCCGAGTCTTACGTGTCCAGGAACACCACCTCGGACTCGTCGACCTCGACACTTGGGTACAGCGCTGCGTCGCACATGCCGATGCCCCAGTTGGGATCCTTGGCGATGTCCGGCCGGGGTTCGGTTGGCGTGCCGGTCGGCGCTGGAGACGTGGGCCTCTACGTGACGCGCGAAGTTGTCCCCAAACGCGAGGCCATACTGGATCCAGCGGAAGCCAACATGGCGCGCTCGGACGAGGTAGCCAGCCTGGTGACATCTAGGACGCGTACGTCGACGAGGTCCCGGACGCACCGACGCTCAAGGCGTGACTCACTGTTTAGTGGCTCGGACTCGGATGGAGATGCTCGGCGTCGCCGCCGATGTTCCACCCGGAGGTCATCACGAGACCGATCCCCATCCAGGCGCTCGAGTCGATCCAGGCGCTCGTACCGGTCCACCCGGTCCGGACGGACAAGCCTGTCGGCCCAGTCGGGGATGGCGGAGATGGCGGTGTCGACCTTCCACCAGGTCCAGCAGCTTGGTGCCGAGCTGTCGAAGCTTCGCGAAGCTGTGTCGACCGGGAAGGATCCTAGCCTGGATGCCGAAGCCGAGCTTGCTCTGGCTGAAGCCCAACGGGAAGCGCGCGAAGCCTAGCGCCGGGCCCAGGAGCTTGAGCGACGCCTGCATGAGGTCTACGCCCAGGCACCCCAGGCCGGCTCGCAGTTCCTGACGGCCGAAGCCAGCGTTGAAGCCGCTCGTCGTGAAGCCGCGCGGGCCGAGCGTGAGCGTGTGGAGGCAACCGCCGCGGAGTATATCCGCCGGCAGCTAGGTGAAGCCGACGCGAGGCACGCCGCCGACATGGCAGCCCGGGCTGGGCAGACCCAGCAGGACCTGGCCGCGTTGGCAGCCAGGCTGCAGGCGTCGGAAGTCGCGCGTGCGCAGGAACGTGAGTCTGCTCAGAATATCCAGCGTTTCCATGTGGGACAGATACGCGACCTTCAAGCAACATCTGCCCAAGCTCAACCTGAACGGGGAACATCCGACCCTAATCGGGCAACTCCCATACAAACGGGAAGTGACAACCCTGAACGGGCAACGGGCGTAATCACGGGAAACGCAACGGTCGCAGGTACACAACCGGGACAGAAGAACACGACCGAAGCCGACTGGGAACATCTACTGCCAACACTGCCGGGAGTCTACGTCGCGCGTCTAGCAAGGACTCTGAGGCCGACCGTGGTGAAAAATGAGCCGGCCGCAGTTAATGCGGCACACCGATCTACTACGGCAACGCAGGTTGCCCCGACGGGGACCTCCCGTCCAGGGACCAAAACGACGGTGAAGAAGGAGCCAACGGAGCCAAAGAAGGACCCGCCCAGGAAGGACGAACGCAGGAAGGACGATCGCAAGAAGGCGTCACGCAAGGGGCGCCGCCGGGTTCGCGACTCGTCCCCGGATTCGAGCTCCAGTTCCTCGAGCTCGGATGATGATAGCTCCAACTCGGACGACAGCCTGGACGACGAGGACGCTACACCGACCGTGGGATCAACTACGGTTGGGGATGGCAAGACCTCCTGGACGTTCCGCCCGTATGTCAACTCCAGCACGCTAGGGCAGTTCGATGAGAAGGCCCCGCTTGAAGATCGACGTACCTGGTGGGAGAAGTTAACCAATATCTCCGTCCAGGGTGGTTGGTCCGACCAGACCAAGGTTCGAGAGCTCAAGATGAAGTTGTCACCTGCCGCCCGGAATTGGCGCGGCCAGCTGGGGAAGCACGTCCAGAGCAATTGGAAGCGCTTCGTCCAGGAGTTCCGTCGCAAGTACCTGAAGCTCCGGACGTCGGAGTCTGAACGGTATTATACCATGCGACAGAAGACGTCTGAGACCCCGATGGAGTTCTTCTACAGGCTGAACGAGGCTGCGGTCAAGGCGGGGATCAAGTACCGGAAGTCCAAGAAGGAGCGCAAGCAACATGTCAAGCGTTTCCTGAAGAATCTCCGGGACTCCCAGCTGAAGGCCATCCTGGCTAACCAGAAGGATCGCAGCCTGGACGACCTCGACGGCATCCTGGAGCAACAGGAGGACCTGAACCTGGATGGGGGTTATGATACGCCACCGCCCAGGCGGGACTTCCGAGCGGGCAACATCCAGGATTCCCATTTCAAGCCGAGACGCCGCCCGTTTGTGGCAACTTCGGACGGGGAGTCCGGCTACGAATCTGAAGGTCGGGTGCGTTTCGAGGATGAAGTCGAAGAAGCCAAGTCGTCCCAAGCGGAGTCGAAGGAGTCCAGCCGGAGTGCCCCGGCTGAGGTGCCGCCAAATGCCCCAACCGTTGCGCAGATCCCGGAGCCCGAGCTCCGCCAGGCTATCTTCAAGGCGATCGAGCAGAGTGGGTGGCGCCCGCCTGCACAGGACGACTCCCGTCCTGGGGGGGCAGTCGCCCCGGCCGGGATGGCAATCACCTCGGCCCGGATGGCAGTCGCCCCGACGGGAAAACCCTGACCGGAACGAGTTTTGCGAGAAGTGCCTCAAGTTTGGCCACAAAGAGCAGAACTGCTGGGCGGAGATCGTTTGCGACAGGTGCAACCGGAAGGGCCACCCGGGATACGCGTGTCGAGTGAAGCCGTGCTCACGCTGTGGCAAGATTCATGAAGGAACCTGTGGAGAAAACCAGATAACCACCAATGCATGTCAACTATATGTCAGGACCAGTTTGACAACCCCAACCGTACGAATCCTGGACGGGAAAACCCGGATGGCGATGATCATGTCGAAGTCATCCTACAGCCCGGACAGAGATACGGTTGGTGGGAGGATCACGAGCCTGAAGAGAGTCATGAAGTGGCGACAGTGCATGAGGCGGTGAACGATCTCCGAACGAGGATACTCTTGGACACTGGTGCATCTGGAAGCATGATTAGCTTGGACCTTGCGCGTAGGCTCAAACTGAAATCCCGGATGTTGCCGGAGCCGATCAGGGTGTCCGGATTAGGAGGTGCTCTCACGAACATTACGTCGTACGCCCGGGTGAAGATCACTCTGGGATTCCGCGTGGTGTATGTGATGAGTGTCTGGTTGGCGAATATCGGCGAAGGATTGGAAGTACTTCTGGGGATGAACTTCATGTATGCGGCTGGAGTGCGGTTGAGCGTGCGAGAAGGACTAGTGCAGCTCCCGGACGAAGAAACTGTTGTGATGTGTGATCGTCCGCGCCGCGACAAAATGGGCTTGGATCTCCCGGTAACCCCGGATGAGGAGATCTATCTCCGTCCGGGGGAACATGCGATCGTGAAGGTTAGGTACGGCCAGAGGAACCCCCAACGGGATGTTGTGTGGGCCGGCCGGGGTGATCCTTGGGTCACCAAGATCCTGTATGCTACCAAGTCGTGGGCGTCTTCGGTGAAGGTGGTGAACATCTCCAAGCAGAGAGTGTGGATTGACAACCGGACTCCTGTGGCCCGGATCGTCGAGTTCGGGCACTTTCCCCGGTTTGGGAGTTTTGTCCGGCCGGGAAGCAAACGGTATCAGGAGTGGCAACAGCTGATCTACGAGAACACAGTGTCTCCGGAAGCAGAGGCGCGTGAGCAGGAGCAGATCGAGCTCGAGTGGAGTCGACAGCCCCCAGCTGTAGAAAGACCGCACCGGGAATGGCCGACCAGGATTCTCCTACGGCCTGAGTCGGGGTCCCAGACGGACCGGCTGGTGATGCTCCAGCAGGGTAACGCTGAGTCCCGGGCGGGATCCGTCGAGGGAGTCTCAGATGGAGATGATAACGAAGCGGAATCCGGTCGACGTCCGACTGTCGAGGACGCTCACACCGATGTCGGCACTACCGCTGAGTCGGATCCGAGCCCTGATGAGTGGAACCTGAGCATCTCTGATTTGGCTGAGTCCGACCTGGATGATGACCGCTCGGAAGACATTTCGACCGGGAAGAGCCTGGCATACCTACTGCGTCGATGTCTAGTACCCCGCTGCGGAAGCTGGAGGAAGCGTACAATCGATGCATGCGAATCAATCAGGAGGAACTCGACCTGGAAGCTGGAGTGTATCTGCACGAGGGGAGCGAGTTGTTGTCCCGACGAATTGGCCTTGCTTCCTGAGCTGAAGGACCTGAGCCCCGAGTGTGATATCGACAAGGCGGATGTTGGAGAGCCCGGACGGACTACCCCGGATGGGGGACAAAAGTTGCGCTCTATACTCAAGTATCACCGTAAGATCTTCCTTGGGGATGACAATGCTGCGCCGGCCCCGGCCAGTGGCGTGGTGTGTGACCTGGATGTGGGTGACGCAAAACCCGTTGCTCAACGACCAAGGTCCATTGTCCCTCACTTGATGATGAAGGTGTACGAGCTCCTGAAAAAGCTGCTGGAAACAGGTCTAATCGAGATGTCGCTGTCGCCGTGGGCTTCCCCGATTGTGATCGGCCTCAAGAAGAATGGCGTGGACATCCGAATGTGCATCGACTACCGGGTGGTTAATGGGTTCATCCGGCTTTCTAGCTACCCGTTGCCCCTGATCGATGATCTGCTGATTGGATTCGAAGCCGCTATGTGGTTCATGAGTCTGGACAGGGCGAGCGGATTCTGGGCGGTCCGGATGACGGAACGTGCGAAGCTAATCTCCGCGTTCATCTGCCCATTCAGACACTTCCAGTGGGTACGCATGCCATTTGGACTCAAGAATGCCCCACTCGTATATCAGGCGGTGATCAACAACTGCCTTTGGGGTTTCGTGCGTCTCCCTCGGGAAGAAGAAGAGCAGGTGGACCCGGATGTACTCGAGTTCCTCGGTTTGGACCCGTCCGTCCGGGATGAATCCGAACGGGAGAAGGCTGGAGCTAGTATTCCCGTCCTGGTGGAGGGGATAACTGTGTTTCAACGCAACATCCCGATGCCGTCCCAGATGGGACCTGTCCTCGGACGGAGTTCCTACATCGCCCACCTGGGATCAGTTGTGTGATGACCTGAATGCGCTGCTATTCCGGTTGCGCTATTGAAACATCTCTGTCAGCCTGCCCAAGAGTGAGTTCGGGAAGTTGAGTATCCCGTATCTCTCCCACGAGATCAGTGCCGAAGGAATGGGCGCGACTCCGAAGATTGCGAAGGGTATTCAGGATCTGCCGTTCCCGTATACCCTGAAGGGAGTTCAGTCATTCCTCGGAAGCCTCAACTACTATCACAAGTTCATTGAGAACTTCCCGGTTGTGGCTGCAGTCCTGTATGAGCTCACGGAGAATCAAGTGAAGTCCGGCCGGGATCTGTCCAGGGCGAAGGAGGCATTCGAGATCTTGAAACGGAAGATCGTGTCGACACCCCTGTTGCGACACCCCGACCGGACCAAGCCATTTGTGATTATCCCGCATGCTAACCGCTGGGCCGCCTGCGCGGTCCTTGGCCAGGAGTATGATGGAGTGCTCCAGCCTGTGAGGTTCACGGGGCGCGTGCTGAGCGACGCGGAGATTCGGTATCACATCGCCGAGAAGGAGGCGGTTGCTGTCATGCGGGTCCTAGATGTGTTTAACACTCTCGTCCAGGGTTGCCCGATCAAGGTGTACACCAGGTACTCAGTACTGTCCTGGCTGTTGAAGTCCAAGACCGCCGACGGCCGACATGTCCGGTGGGGGTTAACACTATCCCATTGGGACTTGGAAGTGCCGAAGGTGAAGCGAAACGAAGACGGCCTGGCTGCATTCCTGGGCGCTGGCATAACGCCGCGTGAGCACCTGGACGAGGTTGCTGAGTCGCTCATCCCGGCCAAGGGTCAAGTGAAACCCCCACCGGCGATCAGTGTGGAGATGCTGGAGGTGGATACGTCTTGAGTTTCGACGGAGCTGCGAAGACATCGACGAGGCGAGGAAGTTGTGGGTGTATCATCTGGGAGCTCCCCGGCTGGAAAGTCCTGGCCGCGCGGGGTTTCATCCTGGATGATGTTACGGTGAACGACGCTGAGTACCTCGGCTTCCTGAATAGGTTGAAGATGATCCACGACCGGGGTATCCCGGATGTGGTTGTTGTCAGAGACTCTCGGATCGTCATCCAACAGGCTCAAGGACTGATTAACTGCAACCAGCCAAACCTGCAGCGACGTCTGGCCGAGTACGAGGAGATGAAACGGAACTTCACCTCGATCCGGCTGGTACATGTCAAGCGAGAGTACAACCAGGCTGCAGATTACTTGACGTCCAAGACACTGGCGCTCGGAGAGTCCTGTGCGATAAATGACCCGGACGAGATGGAACATCTGGGGCGAGTCTCTCGTATCCACGAACAGATCATGAAGCCTGAAGTGACCCCGAGCGACGATCCCCCCGACGAGCCCAGTCGGGAATCTACGACTGGAGTGCCTGATGATGCTGGTCCCGGGCCGGAGTCAGCTCCCCTGCCAATGGCAGCCAGGGTCATGGCCGCATTAACTCGTAGCCAGAGCCGTGAGGACTCCAACCGGGGTGAGCCTATGAACCCACTTGAGTATCAAGCTGAGAGGTGGCGCCGGATCAAGGTGCACCAGGACGCTGATCCCGAGTTGGTGAATCTGAAGAAGTTCCTTAAGGGCGACCTGGATGACTTTTCCCGGCTGGAGATCCGCAAGCTGTCCAAGCGGGCAGACCTATTTGCGTTGGATATTCGGGACGTACTCTATCGACTGGTCAGGTCCAATCGGGACCAACCTAGCGACAAGACCGACGAGTTGCGCCTAGTCGTACCGGAAGCACTCCGTCTGGACATGTTGCAGATTACGCTCATGAGGATTTCCAAGGTGGCCATCAGGGAATAACCCGGACGCACGAGAAACTCCGGCTGGAGTTCTACTGGCCAGGGATGTACGCAGATGTTGAAAGATACGTCAAGTAGTGCACCGACTGCGCCAGTGGCAAGGGGCGTCCGCCGAATCCAGGACCTTCGCCCGGGAACATCGAGCCCAGAGAGTCTTTCGAAGTGGTCTCGATGGACTTCATGACCCATTTGCCGAAGTCCGAACGGGGTAACACGTTCTTGCTCCTGTTCCAGGATGCGTTTTCGGGTTTCGTTATGTGCAAACCGATGAGTTCTACCACCGGTCAGGATGTCGCTGAAGCGTATGAGGAGAGGGTGTTCCGCTGCTTCGGAGCCAGCTCCCTACTGCGTCACGATCAGGATCCCAGGTTCATGAGTGAAGTCTTCACTCGGTTCAGGGAACTTCTGGGTAGCCGACAGCGAGCTACGTTGGCATACCGAACCCAGGCGAATGGACAGCAGGAACGTTCCGTCCAGACTGTGGCGAGGTCCATCCGGACTTACATCGCAGAAGCTGACCAGAGCGACTAGGATGACCCCGCAGAGAGACTCATGTTCGCGCTCAACACGTCGTTTGATGCAACCCGGCTGGACACCCCATTCTACCTGGTCCACGGTTGGGACGCCAAGAGTACGATCTCAGCTATGCTGGGGCCTAAACCCTCCAGTGTCCCTGAACGGACCGCGTATGAGTGGCGAAGGAAACTCCAGCGGGACTACGGCTACGCTCGGGCATGTGCAGTAGACCTCCAGAGGAAGGCCAAACGGGCTCGCTCGGAAGAGCAAACCCGGAAGTGCAACGAGTTGTCAGACCGGCTCAAGGCAGGTTTCAACGTTGGGGATGCAGTCTGGCTGTACATCCCAAAAGTGCAGCCGGGTCTGAGTCGAAAGTTGGCCCACTTATGGCATGGTCCATTCAGGATCGCCGAAGTGGTTGACGAGTTCCGGGTGAGGCTCAAGGTTGAGGACACGGGTTACCGTGTAAACCCTTGGGTTCACATCAGTCGACTGAAACCCCGGGCGTTGTATCCCAGACGGCCTATAATCCAACCGGAGATCGAAGACAACGATGACTTTGACACAGCACTTCTTCCCGAAGACAGCTGGGCAGCGGACAACGAGAATGACGAGTACGAAGTGGAGAAGATCATGGATCTCAGGTGGAACAAGCGTACGCGGACGTCCAAACGGGCACGAGAGTATCTCATCAAATGGAAGGGGTACGATGAGCCTGAACGGATACCGATGGCACAGCTGAATTGCGGAGCGCTCTTGTATGAATTCAGTCAAGGGGCGAAAGCCCGAGCGCGGTTCCAAGCCATGCAGGCTGGGGACAACCACCCTAACATACTAACATACAATATTGGGAGTGGTCAAGTCCGAATGGGGCAATCCCAATTGGGAGTGTTGATCCCAGTTGGAGATTCCCAGACGGAGACCCGAAATGCCTGGATATGATTGTGTGAATTACGGAAAATTGATTGTGAATTTGTATGGAGCGGATCTACGATGGAGTTGTGACTACGGAGAGTAACCTGAGCGAGATTGGGGTTTTCGATGACGAGTGTATGAGGTTGACTATGCTGCCCTGAAGGAGGTGGCAAAGCGGCAAGAGAGGAACAAGACTGCGCCCAAGGTTGAACCGACCTGGACAACCTGACCGAAGAAGGAAATGATGAAGACAGCGAAGACATTAACGGTGATTGTGGAATTGGAGTGCTACGGTACAGATATGCAACTACATACAGGACTGCCGTGGATGCTGGACGGGCTGGCCACTGGGGCGCAGGGGCGAGTTCCTCGCAGAAGACGCTGCGCTCTCCTCCTCCTCCTCTTCCTCCTCGTCGGCGTCGTCGTCCTCGCCGGTGCCTGCCTGGTCGTCGACCTCCATGGTCTCCTCGGCCTCGTCGACCTTGCGCGCAGGGCTGCCGGCCCTAGCCGGCACATGGGCCTCGCCGCTAGCATCCAGACTGCCGCCACCGTTACCCGCGCCCGCCCCCGCACCCCCCACTGGGGGCGCAGAAGACGGGAGTCGCGCTGGGATAAGCGGCGCGTCGGCGCTCGATGCGGGGGCGTCCTGGTGGCGCGCGGATTTCGTTGTGAGTGGAGATTTCGTTGCCGCAGACTGGAAAGAGAAATTGATGAAAAGTGACCCGGTTGGGACAGGGCGCAAAGAAGAGACGCGACAGTTGGAGTTGACTGAAGACATCCCCGGCTGGGGCGCCCACCCATCTGGGCTTGCTCGGATCGTGAGATCTTGTCATGATCGATCGTTTCGCCGAATGGACTCTGCAATGGATCGTAACAAGAGGGGCGGTTGACACAATGGAATTGGAGATTTTCGAGGATTCCCCGAGCCGCGCCTGTGATTGGTTGGCTCAGAGGCTCACTATGGGAGAGGGAGGCGGCAACACGTGGCGAACGGGAAAAGCGGATCCCGGCCGGACTCGCGTTGGCAGTGTACAAGGTTTGGTGACCCCAGATGGAGATGTCCCCAAGAGCGGACCCCGGCTGGAACCAAGTACCGAACGAGAGGCAAAACCCAAGGGAGCGTAGAAGTGCCTCCGACTGGAGGCCGCCTGCTCTCGGTGCACTGTACAACGCAAGAGGAGCCCGACCGGATCGAGTGAAGACCCAGAAAACCGTGAAGCTGTCCAAGACATCCCGGACGTGAAGCCCAAGTGGAGTGTGATCCCGTTTGGAGATAATCATGAATCCCGGGTGGAGATACCAAGATACCAAGATACCATCCCAGATGTGAAGATCCATTATACAAAGTCCAAGATGTTTCCGACCGACCAAGCCGACCAGCCAAGATCTGTTCGGATTCCGTGGAACATTGAACTTCGCTTGCGTACCCAGTGATGATTATACTTGCTGTAAGTATGCTACGAGGGACCGCGGACGATTACGGCGACAAGACCATAGAAGGCAAGTCAAGATGGAGTGCATGTAAAGACTGACAGAAGATAGCCAGGCAGACAGAGAGAGACCACAGATAACAGATAAACAGAGTTCGTTTTGCCAAGGATCGCGCAAGTGAGTTGGAGCAGCCTACCGGGCGTGCATTCCCGGAGGACCGACTAAGTCTACGTGTGAGGGCCCAGCAACTGTGACATCTGGGTCGAGCTCCCGCAACCAAGTCCAGTCCAAGTTGGGGTGAGTACCGGGCGACAACCCGAGGTTGCTCCATCCCATTTCATTTCCTAGTTGCGGTTGAGCTCGTCCAGACCAGGAAGGCCCCGCATTTCATATTACCGATTACCTTGTCACCCCGGTTGGAGTAGCCCCGTGTGGAAAGTATTGATTTAAGTGCTATTTTGTGATAGGAGGTAATTGATTGTTTTAGTTTCCTCAGTACTCGAGGGTGGTGCGCGTGAGCCAAAGCCGACCGGGATCGACCAGTGTCCTCGAGTCCGGCTGGAGTTGACTGGAGTAGTGGCCGACCCTTTCACGGTCCAAAAGAATAAGGAAGGGCTACGTGTTTGTATATAACTCTGTATCTGTTTGTATTGTTTGGTTGTCTGAGGGCTGTCAGAGGCGACGTCCAGGAAGGTTACGTTCTGCCCTGCTACCTAGTGACCTACAGGTATCAAGACAACTCATCCACGGTTGAAGACCCCTGGTTACAAAGACAAACGAACCCACAGGGATTGTTCACAAGGACACACGCCACCCCGGTTGGAGTGTACATCTAGGTGTACTATCTCCGGCTAGGGTTTGTTCTGGGTGCACTCCATTCGGGAGTCTACACCCGGGACGCGCCAAGCTATACACCTGGGCGGTCAGGCGTTCACCCGCCTCGCCTCACCATCCTAACTTCGCTCCGCGGAACACAGCCGAATTCCAGCTCAGGTCTTGTCGCACGGTGTACAGCCGGGTCCGGGTTCAGTCTTGGCCAATCAGAATGGCGGATTCAAACGGGTCAGTAGTCAGGTGATGAACGGTTGAGGTGAAACCCCGTTCAGTCTCGTCACAACCGTCCCTTCCAGTCATGGTCTGTCATAGAGGAAATTTCATCCGAGCTGGCACATCATGGCTGGGCCGAAGTCTGACGGGGCTGAGCTTGAACGCAGTTCTGAAGCGCGGACAGTTGGCCAACTGCCACACTTGCGAATGCTTCTGCGCCCTGTCCCGTTTGGTCAGAAACTGTCAAATCTGCGGCCAGACTCGTCTCCAACCGCAAACTCCATTCCAGCTTTCCGTATCATTGCAAAATCTTCTTCAAACTTGCGGTACCGACGCACGCACACCAACACGGCAACCTCGCGGTCACACGAGCGGCACAGCAATATGGCACCGGCAGGGGGCGACGCGCCAGAGGCACGCACGCAGGCGGACGACGCGCAGGAGCGCGCCAGTCAATCGGGGGACGCCGGCAAGGCGTCTAAGCCGCAGGCAACACCGGCGGAGGCGTCTCCTTCGGGCAACGAGCGTCGGGTGCACTTCGCGGACAACGACGACGACAAGGAGGGCGACAACGGCGAGGGGCACGTCGACGCGGATGGCGATGAGGTCACGGAGGGCTCCACAGCGGATACAGAGGCCAAGGAGAGTGATGATCGGCTGAAAGCAGGTCGAGCAGGCTGAACGCAGTTTTGGCTACCTTGAACGCAGGCGATAAGGCCTTGGGTGAGCGCTCATTCCTCGCGCCTGGGTGGCGTGAACGTCGGCTCGTTTCGAACGCTGAATATGCAGGTCTCTCCGCGTCCAAGCTCGTTCCTGCGTCCAGCTTCCACTTCGTTGACGAGAGTGCTCAGCGTCCAGGTGCCACCTCCCATCGCTACCGATACGCCGCTCAGAGTGGTTGGAGTCCCGGCGTCTGCAGACGCGGTTCACAATGGAGCGCGTTTTCACGATGGATATGATGGGCTGGAGGTGCTGCAGACTCTCGAAACTCTCACCGACGAGGACTACAAAGACCGTGAATCAGTCATTGGGCCAATGTGCGTTCAAGCATGCTAGACGTGCGACAAGGTCTCCCGTCGGGCATAAGCCTCGCGTCCATGTTGAAGTCGTTGGTCCTGCAGCGTGAGTTTGCTTCGGTGCTCAGCGTCTTTCGGGCTGAACGACTTGCTGAACGCACTTTCAACACGATATGGTTCCTTAAACGGCTTCTCAACAAATTCCGGCAGCTGAAAGTGGCGATCGAGTCAAACGGCCAGACCTCTGCACAGCACACACTGGATCTGTTGGACGTGAATGAAGGTCTTCGACGCGAATGGGCTGTCATGGAAGTGTACTGGAAGGAGGAGGTTGAACGCATCATTGCGTCCAAGCGGGATGGGGAATCTGCGTTCAAGCAGAATTTCATCCGTCAGCAAGAAGACCACCGGCACACACTGAATGCGCGTGCCGACAAAATTGCCGAACTAAAGAACCAGCTACAGACGTCTGAAGCTTTGTGTGAAGTTCTGCGTCGGGAGATTCGCGAGAAGACATTGGGCGCATGGGCATTCAGCGATTTCTTGGGTCGAGAACCGCAAATCACGGTAGCAGGGAACTGGAAGCGCCTTCAGGAGCTGTTCGGACATATTTCGGATGGCACTACGCCTCCTTCTGGCTGGATTACGAAAATCCACGTGGTGGCCATCGACCAGCCACAGTGTGTCTGTGGCGACTACGCGGCTGAACGCAGGAAAGCCAATTGTGGCGGCTCTGCGTCCAAGCTTGTTCCCCCGCTCAAGAAAACGGTTGATGTCACGGGAGGGAACGCGGGGTCCAGCAAATCCAAGTCCAAGCAATCTGCGTCCAAGGGTAGTCGCAAGAAACTGTGGGATGAGTTCCTGAAGAAACTCCAGCTGCGTCGAAGCAACTATCGACCCAGTTCGCAGTTGGCTCTTCCAGCGTCGTCCAAGCTCGCTCGATCTGAGGATGAAGCGCGAGAAGCTCTCCCGGGGCCTCAGGTCTGACGAAAACTCCGTCATGATTTACGCTATGTGATGCGGAACGGTTTCACCTACGAGGACGCGAAGGAACTCGTGAGAAGAGAACGCGTCGTTCACCCGTTCATTCACCATGAGCCCCTGGTCGAGATGCTGGTCAGCATTATTCGGAACGACGGGCTGGACGCAGTTCCCTGGACGATTTTCGTTCCAGAGATGTACTACCTCAGCGCTGAAGTTCGGCTAGAAAGCATGTGTGACCGGGGCGAGAAGCCCGACCGTAGTTTTCGTTGGACGAAGAGTATGTTCAGATGGACTCGAGCTACGCCCTTCCAGTAGCAGCGGGGATTCCGAATACGAACAAGAAGACGATGTTGAACCTGACGATTTTGATACAGCGTCCAAGGTTCCTGAAACTGTGGTTCCAGTGAAGCAGTCGTCTCCTTCGGCCAAGCGCAAACTCGACATGCTTGAATCGGGTGCGGCCAACCAAAAAGAAGGTTCAAGGCTTCGCCGCTCGCCGCGGAATCAATCGAAGGCCAAACTAACCCAGTCTGGATCTGCGGTCAAGAAAGCGCGACTTGCGGCCAAGGTCATCGAGCAACTGACGGAATCTCCACGTAAGGCCACTGCTTTGGCGAGAATCCCGTTCAAGCGTCTGACATTGGAACAGCTGAGTGTGATTGAAACCCCCGATCCAGCAACTACCACGTCCTACAGGTGCTCCGGGATCAAGATGTGCTTCTATCAGAAGAAAAGCAAGCCTCAGACTATCGGGTTCCCGAACTACTCGCCGCAGAAATGTGACAGGAAGTTTCTCGAGGAACGCTGGAGCATGGAGCTGTACGTGACGCTCTTCCCAGTGAACTCGCGGGGCAAGATGATCAAGAAAAAGCCCCCCTGGAACGTCATGTTCGCTGAGCGCACAAAGATGCTGTACTACCATGACGCGTCCAAGCTGAGTGCTGATAGCATGCGCGGTCTCAAGAACCACGTCGGCTTCATGGAGAAGTTCTGCCAAGCTTGGTGGGACCTACTGCACTGGATCACGATCAACCTTGAGCGCGATGCTGCTTCTCAAAGACTCTACAAGCTTCGCCGCAGGCGCACATACTCTTTGATCCGCCGATACAAAACCCATCTCAAGAAATTGCGCAAGATCAAGGATTTCCCTGAAACGCTGTTTCAAGAACGTGGGATCTGGCCGCTGTCCAGTGTATCTGCAACTGGATCTGGGAGGACTCTCGCGTCGTTATTTCAGACGGCGAGCCCAAGCCCCTGCGTCAGCAACTGGTCGAGCTGGACGAGCGTGAGCCTGCCCTCACTCTTTGGGCGACTGCGGCCGACGAGGTTGAACGCACCAAGTACGTTTCAGCCGCTCTGCGCGCCAACCGCTCGATTCCACTCCTTCAGCGTGCTCGCAACTGGATCGTCCCTGACCGCTCAGACATTGAGCCCGAGGAGGAGGATGACGAAGACGACGACGAGATGAGCGAAGTCGGCGACGAGAACGAGGAATACGATGAAGAGGTCGAGGAGGAGGAAGTTGAGGAGGGCGACACGGCCAGAGAGCGATTTGTGAATCGCTGGCCGCACTTCCTCAACCCGGACCCTGGACGCGGCTTTAGCATTACTCCATTTGCATGTCGTAGCGTAGCCACTCAGAGTTCAGGAATACATGTTTCCACACCTTCTTGTCTGTTCTCCACCTTGATTAAGCCTTCTTCAATCTTCGGCGTTCAATCATCTTTTGTTTGAAACGGGGTTTCAGCCACGTCTCTCAGTTCTCATTCCGGCACTTCTCCACCGAAGTCACATCAACGCGTAGCGGGCTGGCCACACTCCACTTGTTTTATCCACAGCGTAAATAATTCCATAATCCAATCTCCACGTCTCCACTTCGTAATGTCCACCGTCATCATCATCTGCGTTCAGTCAAATCCGCGTTCAGACATTCGTCTGCGGTCAGGGTCACTCACTCTTATCTTATGTGTACAGTCGGTTTCAGGGGCAGGTTCAGTCACTTTCACACGTTCAGCGGTCTGCAGTCAGGCATGTGGGCTCAGCGAGAGCTACACGCCTGGATGATCATCCCCAGCCTGCATGGCCTGGAAGCGGGCTCGCGCCTTAGCTCCCTGATTGAACTCATATAGCAGGGCACCGCAGTTCAGCTGAGTGACTGGTAGCCACTCTGGTTCATCGTATCCCTTCCACTTGACTTTGTACTCCCGAGTGCGTCGAGAGGTCCGAGTGCGCTTGACCCAACGCAGATCCAAGATTTTCTCCACTTCATATTCGTCGTTCAGAGCATCAGGCTCCCAGCTGTCCTCAGGCAGTAAGGCGGCATCGAAATCATCGTCCTCAGCTACTTCCACCTCTTCAGTCGGACGTTTGGGAAACAGTGCTCGCGGTTTCAGACGGCTCACGTGCACCCAGGGGTTCACGCGATAACCAGTGTCCTTCACCTTGAGCTTGACTCTGAAATTGTCTTGCATCTCTTCAATCCGGAACGGGACGTGCCACATGTGAGCCAACTTCCTGCTCAGACCTGACTGGACCTTGGGTATGTAGAGCCAGGCGGCGTCTCCAACCTTGAACCCGGCCTTGATGCGGTCAGACAATTCTTGCCATTTCAGGGTCTGAGCCTCTGAACGCAGTTTCTTCGCCTTTTTCTGTAGGTCCTCCGCACAGGCTTGAGCGTAGCTGTAACCACGTTGCATCTTGCGACGCCACTCGTACGCGCTGCGCTCCGGCACACTCGATGGCTTAGGCCCGAGCATCGCTGAGAGCGTCCCTTGAGCATCCCAACCGTGGACCAAGTAAAATGGCGTATCAAGCCTGGTCGCATCAAAAGACGTGTTGAGCGCGAACATCAGCCGTTCAGCGTGCTCGTCCCAGTCACTCTGGTCTGATTCAGCGACGTAGGCTCGGACACTGCGAATCACTGTCTGGACGGACCGTTCCTGTTGGCCATTTGCCTGAGGGTGGTAAGCCAGGGTTACCCGCTGTCTGCTGCCAAGCAAATCCCTGAATCGGGAAAGTACTTCACTCATGAACCTTGGGTCCTGGTCATGACGCAACTTGGAACTAGCGCCAAACTGTCTGAAAACACGCTCTTCGTACGCCTCGGCCACGTCCTGAGCAGTTGTCGAGCCCATCGGCTTGCACATCACATAGCCTGAAAATGCATCCTGAAACAAGAGCAAAAAAGTATTTCCGCGTTCGGACTTTGGAAGGTGCGTGACGAAGTCCATGGACACCACTTCGAACGGGCGACTAGGCTCAATGTTGCCGGGCGAAGGTCCTGAGTTCAGAGGTCGTCCCTTGGCGGATGCGCAATCAGTGCACTCCTTCACGAAAACTTCCACATCAGCGTCCGAATAACTTCATATTCAGCCAGCCTGCGCTGAAGGTTGGGCTGGTTACAGTTTATCAAACCTTGAACCTGCTGAATCACGATCCTTGAGTCACCAACTGCGACCAGGTCCTCAACTCCTCGTTCAGATGCCATTTTCAGCCCATTCAGCAGTCCATGGTACTCAGCGTCGTTTACAGTCACATCTTCCAGAATGAACCCACGTGCGTCCAGGACTTCCCAACCAGGTAACTGCCAGAGAACACACCCGCAGCTCCCAAAACGCGTTGAAGTCTTGGTTGCACTATCGAAGCTGAGAACCACACCTTGATAGTCTGATTCAAGCACTTCAATGCTGACCGCAGGTGGCTTCTTGACGCGTCCCTTGGCTGAAATCAGCTCTTCCACGACTGCGTCCAAGTGTTTACGTGGAGTGATGCCTGCCCCCAATATAGCAGCAAGGCCATCCTCGTCTCGTTGACCGCGACGAATCACCAGCGACCACCTAGACAGTTCCAAACCCCATTTCAGACAGCGACCTTCGATGGAATTCGAGTTCAGCAACCATTTCAGCACTGAGTACCGCGTATAGATCACTACAGGGGACGCTGAACCGTAGATCAGTGGTCGGTACAATTCCAGATCTCTCAATAATGCCAACACCTCCTTCTCCGCAATGTGGTAGCGCAGCTCGAACTCGTTCAATATGCGTCCAGTGAATCGCACAGGCTGAATCACTCCATCATACATCTGACCCAAAACTGCGCAAGCAGCCCATGGATTAGCATGTGGAATGATGACGAATTGCTTCGTGCGGTCCGGGTGACGCAGCAACGGGGTTGAGACAATCTTGCGTTTCAGGATCTCAAACGCCTCTTTTGCGCGCTCAAGGTTAATGCCTGAACGTACTTGCTCCTCGGTCAACTCATAGAGCGAGGCGACCACCACTGGGAGGTCCTCGATGAACTTGTTGTAGTAGTTCAAGCTCCCTAAGAAAGTTTGGACCCTTTTGAGCGTAGACGGAAACGGCAAGTCTTGAACGGACTTTGCAATCTTGGGTGTAGCTCGGATTCCTTCAGCGCTGATTTCATGGGAGAGGTATGGAATGGTCAGCTTGCCAAACTCACTCTTTGGGAGGCTCACGGAAATATTCCAATACCGAAACCTGAACAAAAGTGCGTTCAAGTCACCACATAGCTGGTCCCAAGTCGGAGCACCACGAGCAATATCGTCGATGTAGGAACTGCGTCCAAGCACTGGACCCATCTGCGAGGGGGCCAGGATGTTACGCTGAAACACCGTCATCTCATCGGTCAAAACGGGGACCACAGGCAAACTGCGTTCAGAGTCTTCAGCGCATGTGCGTTCAGGGTCTTGACCGCGTGTGCGGTCAGTGTCAGGTCCATCCTGTTTCAGGAATTCCAGTACATCACGGTCGACGAGAGCCTCTTCCTCGGGTGGCAGACGCACGAATCCCCACAGGCAGTTGTTGATCACAGCCTGGTAGATGAGGGGCGCGTTCTTGAGTCCAAACGGCATCCTGATCCACTGGAAGTGCCCAAACGAGCAAATAAACGCCGAGATCAGCTTTGCGCGTTCAGTCATCAACACCGCCCAGAAGCCACTAGCCATGTCCAGACTCATAAACCACATCGCCGACTCAAACCCAATCAAAAGATCGTCGATCAGGGGAAGAGGGTACCGCGACAGCTTGATAAACTCGTTCACCACGCGGTAGTCAATACACATCCTGATATCGACTCCGTTCTTCTTGAGTACGATGACGATCGGCGAAGCCCATTCCGATTCAGAGTGCTCAATCAGTCCCGTTTCAACGAGTTTCTTGAGCAACTCATAAACCTTGACCAGCAAATGTGGAGCAATCTGTCGCGCACGCTGATCCACTGGCCGCACATTTCCCACATCCAGATCGCAAACTACACCTCGAGCAGGAGCTGGAGCAGCATTTCCGTCGCCCAAGAAAATCTTGCGATGGTATTTCAAGATCCTCCTCAGCTTCGCTTCCATCTCCGGCGTCGAGACACCTGGCTCGCCGACATCTGCTTCATCAATTTTGCACTCTGGACTCAGGTCCTGGAGTTCGGGCAGCATGGCTAGCTGATCGCGCAATTGAGCCACCAACTCGCTGCCCTCACGAACATACACAGTCGGTTCCAGATCCAGTTCTTCTGCTGACACACGCATGACTCTCGCGTACTCTGCCTCTAACTTCCGTACTGGCGCACTCGCAGAACCCTGGCTCGGAAAGTCTGAAACTGCATCTTCATCCAAATCTGCGTTCAAGGCTTTTTGCTGATCAGCAACGTCTGGGGATCTGCGTTCAGAGCTTGTGTCGTCCTCTGTAGGCACGGCGGTTATGAAAGCACTCGCCACATGACAAAGGCCTCGAGTGTCGACACTAGCATCTTGAACGCGGGATTCTTCATCTCGGTTCGGCTCAGTCTGCACTCCAACGTCTTTTGTCCTGGGCTCAGCTGCGTCCAGGCTCCGCTCACCAGTATCTTCTTCGATGAAGGTGACTCGCATCTTCTTGGACTTCTTGTTCACCTGCACCATCCGAAACTTGAGCGGTGCCAGGGGTTGGCCGCAGCATAATTTTAGATGGCCAAGGATACTCCTTCCGCGGAACACAAGGCGGTGCTTGATCGTGCATCAGCTCAAGTAGTCGATCAGCGCGCATCTGCGCCTGGGCGGACAGAGTGTTTTCATAAATGAGTTGTTGCCACTCCTGATACTGCCTTGTGCCTGGCCGCACAAATCGGCCATAGTGCGGGAAGAATCCATACTCAACAATCCTAGCAATGTCAGTACCCGTATCAATCCATATCAACTTGTCCGAGACGTTCACAACCTTGGCCGCAGTCGGCCAGGACTTGGACGCATAAATGATCTTGGTCACCCATCGATCTCCACGCTCAGCCCAAACAACTTCACGCTGAGGGTTGGATTGTCCATAGTGAATACGCACCACAGCACTCCGTCCCGGTTCAAGGAACAAAGTCTCCGTTGGCCGCACAGGAATATCTAAGCCCATTCGACTGCGATCAGGTCCACCGTACATCAAAATCGTTTCTTCGTCTGGAAGCTGAACTAGCCCTTCTCGAGTCGGCAATCGCACACCCGCACTGAACATGAAGTTCATACCAAGCAAAACATCCACTCCTTCGCCAATGTTTGCGACCTAAAGCCTGAAAATGTAAACCACTCTTGGACCAAGCGTGATCTTGACCTCTGCATGTGCTGAGATGTATGTCGGAACGCCTCCCAACCCTGAAACCTTCATCTGTTTGTGCGTCCGGAGTTTGAGCTTCAACTTACGCGCAAAGTCAAAACTCAGCATGCTCACAGACGCTCCAGTGTCCAGGAGGATCTTGGTTCAACAGTCATTCACAGCACCATGCACCATAGCAACCTCATGCGCATCCTCGGGTTCGTGATCGTCCCACCATCCGTAGCGTTCGCCCGGCTGAAGTCGGAACTCAATCGGGGTATCTGAATCAGGACACGTTTTCTGAACGCACATTGTCTGAACGCAGGTTGGTTGAATCAGGGGGTGAAATATGAAACACGGTCATGCATTGTTGGTTTTCTTGGTCATTTCTTCTTCTTCTCAGCTCTGGGCCGACTTACACTAGGGCGCACAACTCTGGGGTCTACTTCAGCCCGACGCGTTCTGGAACCCCTTCCAGCGGGCTAAATGGTTTAACGGCTTCTTCCCAGAGTCGGCATCACCAGTCTGGGGTGCGTCCAGAGTCTGGTCGTTGAGTGCACCTTGGCGGGTCATTTTCTTCACTGCTTGGATAGCTCTCCAATCTTCACACGAGAATCCACGATGGAACTGGTTGCAATCTGGGCATGGGTTGGCGCGGCAGGCTTCAGTCGGGTGACCCTGTTGGTGACAGCGGTCACAGATCAGGTCTGCCCTGCAGTTCTCCTTCGAGTGTCCAATCCTTCCACAGCTCTCGCAAGTCCTCTGCCACGGCGAGTTGCTTGAACGCGGTGACATTGGCCTTGAACGCAGATCCGGGTTGCCTGAACGCAGGTCTGCATTTCGAAACTGAGGTGGAGGACGCCATCCTTCGGCATCCAACACACCATAAATCTCCTTCGTGCCGTTCTCCACCTTGAACACGGGTTGTGTCTCAGCTGGCACAGATTCACTCACACTCTTCTCTCGTCCCTTGGCGAGCGCCACTTGAGCGGCCGGCTTGACTTCAACATCCGGCTCTTCAAACTGGACACGCCGTTCAGGCTCGGAGTCTGAATCAGGTTCTGAGCCTTGAGCGACAAAAGCGCGCCCAGGCTTTCGAGCCTTGAAACGGCATTGCGGGTCGTTGTCAGCGCGGAAGTCACGTCGTGGCGGGGAGTGTCATAGCCTTCCTCGCGCCAGATGTCCTCGTGGCGTCTCAACGCATGCTCGACTTCGCTGATACTCTTGAACTTCTGTCCCTGCAGCGCGGTCTTCAGCTGGGTATCCTTCAACTTCTTGATGAAACGACGAAGGTGTCACTCCCGATGCTTGGATGACCTCTGGAACTCAATCTCAGCCTTGACCGCAGCTGCGTTCAGCCGGTAGAAGAACTTGCGTGGAGTCTCGCCTGGACGCACTTTCATGGTGTAGTAGAGCTCAGAGTAGGAACCAGTCGTACGGCAGTACATGACCTTGAACCGACGAGACAACTTCTTCCAGTTGTGCCTAGTGGACTTTGGTAGCTTAGCGTACCAGTCCCTGAGCGACGAAGACATTCGTCCACGAAGCTGGCGAATCTTCACCTTGTCCGGCCAGGAACCTTGGGCAGCCATGTCGATGAACCTATCCCACCAGCCAACACGTTCATTCACGGACGCATCTTCGCTGAACTTCTCAACCGCATTGTAGTTGATGTACGGTCGATACGTCCAAACGGTTGTGCCTTCCTTGGTCGTCGTCGAGGTGGTCAGGTCCAGGTCGAAGTCGTCGCTGGAACTGCTACTGTAGTCACTGGAGCTTGAATCGTCATCACTGGAGTCCGATGAGCTTGAGTCGGAGTCGTCTGGGTCAGAAGACGGCGGGCCTGCGTCCTCCTTGGTACCCCTCCGGGAAGATGATCTTCTGGACGCAGATTTCTTGGCCACACTTTTCTTGGCCGCTGATGACGCTGAACCCTTGGCCGCAGATTCCGACTTGGATGCAGAGCTCTTCGACGTCGGCACAGTTTTCGTCCCTTGGGAACTTCCGGCAGTTTCCTTCTTCGGCAGACTCGTACCCACGGTCGCACGTAGCTGGGCAGCACCGACTTCGGTCGTGTTCTTTGATGCACATAACCGGTACCAGGCACCACACCATCATTGATTGCACCACTGGATACTTGATTCAAGGTTGTCGATTGAGGGACAGCCGACGTTTCAGCCTTGATTCCGGTTGCAGGGTGAGGGGCCGTCGTTGCGCGAACAGCCTGGACCTGGGAGAGGGTTGCACGCAGTTCGCGGTTCTGGTCGGCTAGGAACTTCTGGCGGTTCAGCGTAGTGTCGCGTTCGAGCTCCCGTTCCGCACGTTCTCGCTCCCGCTCCAAGAGTACGTTCTGAATCGTCTGTTGCACGGAGTCCAAGCGCTTCTTCATCTCACCGTCGGCTTCATCAGCGCGGTGAGAGCGCTCCGCTTCGGCGCTGGCGCGTTCAGCATAAGCGCGTTGAAGCTTGGCCTCGGCCGCGTTCAGGCGTTCCTTCCAGCGGGTCTCAAGGTCTTCCCGGTCCGCTTCATACTGCTGCTTCGCGAGCTCAGTGGCCACTTCAGCGACGTCTGGACGCGCGCGCAAGAGGTGATCCTCGTGCACTGTCGCGTAGTCCACTGGCTCAACTGGGCCGGAGTACGCTGGGACCTCAGGGTACCATTCGGCTTCACGCGATCTGCGTTCAGCCTCCTCCTGGGCCCTGCGTTCAGCCTCCATACGAGCGGCTTCAGCTTGGGCGAAGGCGCGATCAGCGAAAGTCTTCTACGCTTGAGCCCGGGACACTTCCTCCTTCATCGCGCGGACTTCAAATCTTGTGCTGCCTGCGGCGGTGCGAACCACTCCGTTCGCTACTGCCGCCGTCGCTGCAAGTTCTGCAAGCAATTGCACGATGTCGGTCAATGCGAGTTGTTCCAGCGCTATGAGAAGCTCGCCGCATTTGTCAAGTCCAATGTTGACAAGTCCAAGTTACCAGAAGACCTCCAGGACCTCTACACGCCGAGTGATTTAAACTCGGTGGCCCGCCAACACTGACTGGGTTGGATGATACCGGGCTACCACAGTCAGCCGAGCCGGCAGTAGAGGCGAAATTTGTGTTTGCCTTTGTGGGTGAGGCAGGAAGGCCCGACGACCGAGGAGAAGACGACGTATTGGATTGTGAAAACGATGGACTTGATTGTGAGCTCGACGAGAGTGGAGAAGAAAGCCGAGCAAGATTGTGCAGTGCAGTTGCAACTCAGCGATCGACGGATGTGACCACAGCCACCAGAGTTATGAAGCTGCTCCCTGGGAGCGACTCGGCTGGTGGTCGTCACAAAAGTTTGACCGCCGGGTTCGGATGAGAGCTCTCGTTATGGGAGCAGTGAACGATCAGCGTACGAAGATATTGCTCGACACCGGTGCGAATGTGTCGGCAGTAAGCGAAGGATTCGCGAAGAGGCTGCGGTTGAAGCGGTTCACACGCCAGGATCAGCAGATCGGCGTTCAAGGTATTGGGAAAGGCAAAGTAGCGACGATGTCACGAGCGATGGTGAAGGTGACACTCGGCTGGGAGGTCACGTATGAATTTGAAATATGGATCCTCGATCACCACGCGGGAGTCGAGTTGATTCTCGGTACGGACTTCATGATTCTGGTTGGGATCCGCCTGGATCTGTACAACTCGGTGGCGAAGTTGCCAGATGAAGTTGTCCTACCTCTCGTGAAGTCCCAGAACTCAGCGGATGAACCGAAAGGGGGCCTCTATATCACAGACGGCCAGATCGATCGGTGAATCTCGAGAGCCGAGTTCCCACCGAGTTCAGGCTGATGAGGAATCAACCGAGTCATGAAACACATGACTTCTGGGTACGCCGGACTAAAGACTGGGTACCGACCGTGGTACTCGACCGGCGGAACCGAGTGGTTCGAGTTCGCCTGACCAACCTTAAGCCGACTTGGACGTGGTGCCCAGCACATTTCCCAGTGGTTGCCTGGGTGTTACCGCCCGATGGTTATGTCAGGCTGCACTCGGCGAAGTACAAAGATTGGCAAGTCATGGCCTACGAAGCGGCTATGGATAAGGATCTGCTGCAAAAGGAGCAACAGTGGCTGGCTCGACAGCCGTCAGCTGTGGACTGTAGAAACTACCCTGAACCGAAAGGGGTGACTACGTGGTCGTCTACCAAGAAGCGGGATTCGACACTGATTTGCGCCCAGCAATGGGAGAAGTTAGCCGAGGCCGAAGCAGTTTTCGATAGTCCACCCTCGACTCTGACAGAGCTGGCGAACTCGGCTACCGCTACCCTAGCGCCTGAGGAAGTAACATTGAGCGCGGAGCCTACTGCTGACTTGGTCAATGACCTGCCTAGTCGAGCAGAGGTCCCAGTGACGGCTGGTCAATAAGCGCCCAGCCAAAACGCCTGTGCAGCAGATGAGTGTGGAAGTGAGCAATCCAGCGATTTGTCTGACTGGACGATCATCGATGACCCCGGGCCCAAGCCGCCGAGTCCGAGGCTCGAAGATGAGGTCGATGTGAGGAAGGCCTGCGCTTACGTTACCTTCTGGCAGCCAAGTTCGAGGAAGAGACAGATAGCCGAGGCGACTCGGTAGGAGACTCAGCCGAGTTCGAACACCAAGCAACGAACTTGGAGCTCGAAGACTATGCTCGCGAGTTGGCGTTCCTGCCCGATTTGACTGAAGCAGTGTCGACGCAGCGCCGAACGTTCGGAGCTCGGCGCACACTCGGCCATAGTCTACTCGGCTGGTGGAAGTATTGAAGAGCCATGAAAAGATCATAATCTCCAGTAGTAATGCCCTACCTCCACCAGCATACGGCGTAGTGTGCGACATCGACGTACAAGGGCATCCGCCAATCCGCCAACGAGCCCGCCGACTTCCGCTGAAGCATCTCGGCAACTTGTACGAGCTGCTCAAGGCGTTGTTACGAGCTCGGCTAATCGCCTTCTCGGACAGTCCATGGGCATCACCCATCGTGATTGTCCTAAAGAAGAATGGGGTCGACATTCGGTTGTGTATCGACTACAAGCTGGTAAAAGCGATTACGTTGCTCATGGAGTACGCTATGCCGCTGGTGGACGATCTCCTCACGGAGTTGGAAGCGTACTTATGGCTCTGCTCTTTGGATACTGCTAGCGGTTTCTGGGTGGTCATGATGACTCGACGTGCGCGTTGGATCTCGGTTTTTCTCTGTGGGCTTGGCCACTTCGAGTGGCTGCGAATGCCCCGATGATCTTCCAGCGCCTTATTGATAACGCTCTGTGGGGTTACGTACAACCCAAGGGCGGCTGGAAGGCGTTTGCCAAACGCATCCAACAAGCGGAAGCCGCCTCAGAAGCTCAGCGGAAACGACGCGCAGCCGACATCGACTTTGAAGCCAGTGGCCAGACCAAGTTTGAAGCCGACCGCCGAGCTCAAACTGAGTTTGACCCGTTGGGAGAATTCATTAACAGCCCAGAAGCCGACATGTTCAGGACGGGTGAACCTGATGAATCGTGCCTTGCGCCGGTTTTCGACTGGCAGTCGTTTGTGGGCGATATCTGCTTCGGTGGGCGGACATTCAACGATTGGTTGGGAACGCTTGACCAATTGCTGCAACGCTTCACTGAATGCCGCATCAGCGTCAGCTTCCCGAAAAGCATCTTCGTCCAGCCTAAAGTCGACTTCCTGTCACATGGGGTGACCTCGGCTGGAATCCAAGCCGACCAGAAAAAGATGCTGGCGATAGCCGGGCTGCCGTTCCCGACGACGAAGAAGGGGATGCAAGCATTCTTAGGAGCGCTGAACTACTACGGCCGGTTCATCCAGAACCTGACTGTAAATGGGGCAGTCCTCTACCAGCTGAAGGACGAAGACTTCGGACCCGGCGGTGATCTGACGGCCGCAAAAGCGGCGTTCGCCGAGTTAAAACAGAAGGTGGTCGACGCACCCATACCCCGCCACTTCAACTCGGCTGAGGACGTCCACGTTATGCTATTCGCCAACGAGTGGGCTCTGAGTAGCACGCTGATGCAGCTCCACGACGGGAAGCTCGATCCAGTGCGGTTCTGCGGCCGAGCCCTCAAGGATAACGAACTCGGCTACCATCCCGCCGAGAAAGAGGTGCTCGCCTAGCTGCAACTCATCAAAGTGTGCCACACGCTGCTAGCCGGGAAGACCATCCACGTTTACACCCGCTACTCAACCCTTGAATGGGTGTTCCAGTCGAAGTCTCTCTACGGTAGGGCAGTCAGCTTTGCGGTACTGCTATCACCGTTCCACCTAAAGGTCAAGCGGGTCCGCGAACGGGACACGGATTTCGCCCAGTTGCTCCAAGCGTCCATCACGCCGGCAGTGGGATTGGACGAGCTACTAACGCATGTCGCTCCACCGTCCAAGAACTCGGCGGTGGTCCGCATGGACCCAGAATTGCTGTATGCGCATGTGCCCCGAGACTTCAAGGGGCACGTCCTGTCGTTTGACGGATCAGCGAAGATCGCTAAACACGGCGGGTTTGGGAGTTGTTCTTGGGTCCTGTGGCGTTTGCCAGACTGGAACATTGAGATCGCTGCGAGCGCGCACCTCCCATCGACCACGGTGAATATAGCCGAGTACACCGACATGAACAATGGGGTGACCTCGGCCATTGAGCGCGGGGTGACGGATTTGATCATCGTGGGCGACTCTCGGCTTGCGATCCAGCAATCCTTGGGGGTGATCGCGTGTAAGAAGGAGGCATTGCAAGTCGAGTTAGCACGCCACAAGAAATTGGTCAGCAAGCTGAATTCAGTTCGCTACCTCCACGTAGTGCGTCTCTACAACTCGGCTGCTGACTCTTTAGCGACCGAAGCACTGGAAACCAAAGCAGGAAAGGTCGTGCTAAGCGCCGGACGGAAAGCCGAGTTGAAGACCCTAAACAGGATCTCTGAGGTCCTGTGCGTGGACACGGACTCGGCTGCAGCCGCGGCTGAGGGTGTCGAGATGGCGGCCGTGACAAGGAGTCAAGTTCGCCGAGTCCGTTTCGAAGACGAAGCAGCAAAACACTCAGTCTCGAACCCAGCTACGAATGAGGAGGCTGAACGTAATGACTTTGAACGAGATAGCCGACCTCCGCCCGCTAGACAGCGGGTGACGGGAGAAGCCGAGTTCGGTAGCGCAGCACCACCAGCGAACCCAGCTGAGCTGGTAGCCGAGCTCGGAGAAGCCCGGGAGCTCAACGCCATGAACATCGATCCGGTAGTGGTCCAAGCTGAGCGCCGCTTGCGAATAGCAAGAGCTCAAGACGAGGAACAACGATGCGCCGACTTGAAGATCTATCTGAGAGGGGATTATGCGCAGCTCACCCATCGCCGAGCTCACAACGCTGGGAAAGTTGCCGACGAGTTTGTGCTCAGCGAAGACGGGCTACTGTACCGACAAGGCAAGGCCAGACCCCCTGGCGAACTCGGCGAACTGGGCTTATCCCTTCGACTGGTGGTTCCGACGACCATGATAGACGAGGTCCTGCAGAACTGCCACAACTCCATCGATGGAGGCCACCAAGGGATCGTGCGGACATACCACAGGGTCAGGGCCGACTACTACTGGATTGGGTTGTACGCAGATGTGGTCAAACATGTCCAAGCGTGCGAAGACTGCAGTACCAGTAAGAGCAAACCGCACCTGAAGGGCTATTCACCCGGCAACGTGGTGTCTGAGCGACCGTTCCACGTGGTGTCGATGGACTTTGTCATACCACTGCCGAAGACTCGGTGGGGCAACACTGCACTCCTGTTGTTTCAAGACCACTTCACCGGGTTCGTGGTTGCTAAGGCGATGAATGAGACTGGAGCACTTGAGGTAGCGAAGGCCTTCGAAGAGAACGTGTTCCGGAGGTTTGGAGCTCCATCGCTGGTACGCCACGACAGAGATCCCCGGTTCATGAGTGAAGTGTTCCAGAAGTTCGCGGAGATGATGCAGTCCAAGTCGAGAGCGACGCTGGGTTACCGGCCATAAGCCAACGGGTAGTAAGAACGCTGAGTGAAGACCATGGTCCAGACTGTGCGTGTGTACGTGGAAGACCCTCTCCAAGATGACGTAGCCGAGGGCAGCCGACAGGAGGGAGACATGGAGGCCTTTCCGAGGATTTCCGCCGGTACGGTTCGTCTGGGTTGGTGTGTCAGGACGTAACTAGAGCAGCGCAACCCGGAGTTGCCGCCTCCTAGGCCGGCTTGCTATCGCCAGGGCCAGAAACCGCCCTACGGGCGCCACGGTCACCAGCCGACAGGAGGGAGACATGGAGGCCTTTCCGAGGATTTCCGCCGGTACGGTTCGTCTGGGTTGGTGTGTCAGGACGTAACTAGAGCAGCGCAACCCGGAGTTGCCGCCTCCTAGGCCGTCTTGCTATCGCCAGGGCCAGAAACCACGGTACGGGCGCTACGGTCGGCAGCCGACAGGAGGGAGACATGGAGGGAGACATGGAGGCCTTTCCGAGGATTTCCGCCGGTACGGTTCGTCTGGGTTGGTGTGTCAGGACGTAACTAGAGCAGCGCAACCCGGAGTTGCCGCCTCCTAGGCCGTCTTGCTATCGCCAGGGCCAGAAACCACGGTACGGGCGCTACGGTCGGCAGCCGACAGGAGGGAGACATGGAGGGAGACATGGAGGCCATTCCGAGGATTTCCGCCGGTACGGTTCGTCTGGGTTGGTGTTTCAGGACGTAACTAGAGCAGTGCAACCCGGAGTGCC